ACAGCACCAGGTACCTGGGATGCCCTTATCTTCAACAATGCAGAGAAATAGCAACCACGGCCATACGGGAAAAGATTCCATACCATGAGGCCCGCAGAAGACACGAAGCAACCCAAGGCATAACTGCAGCCATTACCACCAAATTGAGCAACGAGGTGGCTCAACTCAAAAGTGACATCCAAGCTCTCAGAGACGAGAAAGACGCATCCAAATCCCAACGAGATGAAGACAGAGATGAAATAACAGGCCTGAGAGCTATAATGCAGGCGACTCTTGACACCCAGAAACGGATGACAGCAGAGATGACGAAATTCAAGGAGGACATCATGAATGCACTGGCCACTATCCAGACACAAAAGGAACAACCAACTAAAGCAAGGGAAGACGAGGCGGGCATCAATGATCTGCGGGATAACCAACAACTTCTCGCGAAAGAAGTCGCAATGATCAAGAAGGCACTAGCTGAAACAGAGGAAAAGTTACGAAGAGCATACGAAGAAAACAACAGACTTAATAAGGAACTGCAAGCAACCAACAGAGTGATGGAAGAAAGAGAGAAAGCACGGAAAGAGGCAACAAGAAGGCAGCAAATACAGGGAGCCGAGACCCAGAAAAAGCCACATCAAACACCAGATAAGAGAAATCCGACACAGCTGATGAAACAGTTTCCGGCGGCAACCATTGACCAAATAAACGAACGCATCAGGGAGCTTGAGGACCCGAACTTCTATAACTCAGAACTGCAAGATGATGACGTTCTTTGGTCATCACCAGAGGAACCATATCGACAGCCAAAACCTGAAGTCAAACGAGGTCGACACCGTTATCTCAAACACTAATACCAGATACGACACAACTAAGGCCAAAATTACTGAAACCCTATGTAGGAGCAGTAGTCTACAACAAGGATACGAGAAAATCACCAAATAATACCAGACCTCAGCAGTATTGCTATCAGTACCTGCCCAAGTCAATCGACCGCCGGTCCTTATTAGGATAGGCAATTTACTTTCACCGGAAACAACAAACAGCCAAGGAATACCACAATAAATCGATTCAACATCCAATCATCTTGAGCGCAGCACAGGGCCAGCCAAATTACACATACAACAGCAAGAGCGGAAACCACAACACATAGAAAGTGACAATATTGAACACAATCCAAAATCAAATGAGATCGAGACAAGAAAACGTCACCACAAATATAGCTGAAAGGAAAGTGAGCAGAAATGTGAACGGACCTAGCTGAAAGTGGTCAACGAAAGAGAATTTGAATTTGAACCCAACTCCACTGGGAAAACCCAGTAATGTCATCTTATTATCTCTGTTCTTCGTGGATGTTTTAGTAGGGCCTTCGGCGCTTATGGTAATGGTGGGATCAACTCCGTTTAATCCTCTTCCTACTACTTCTTCTCATCCTCGTTCACCTCCTCCTACTTCTTCTTCTTCTTCATCATTATCTTCTTCTTCTTCTTCTTCTTCTTCTTCTTCTTCTTCTTCTTCTTCTTCTTCTTCTTCTTCTTCTTCTTCTTCTTCTTCTTCTTCTCCCTTTTATCCTTTTCCCCTCCTCCTCCTCCCCCTTCTTCTTCTTCTTCTTCTTCTTCTTCTTCTTCTTCTTCTTCTTCTTCTTCTTCTTCTTCTTCTCCCCCTTATCCTTTTCCCCTCCTCCTCCTTCTTCTTCTTCTTCTTTTTCTTCTTCATCTTTCTTTTTTCAATTCTTCTTATCACTCTCCTCCTCCTTTTCATCCTCCTCCTCTGTGTGCTCTTTTGAGTAGATTAAGTAAGTCATTGTTTTTTATAATTCTTCTTGGTGCCTTTGTTCAGTAGTTTTTGCTCATCATAAGTCTTAACGGAGCCGGACTAATTTTCAAAAATGACCTTGGCTCCCAGGTCGACCCAGCCTTGAGTGGGTACCGGGTGCAGTTCCGGGAAGTAAAGGCGGCAGGCATGATGCTGACCACATCACCCATCTTGTGCCGATTGGTCTATAAAAATATAGGTCTAGCCCTATATGCCCTATACGCCTAGAGACATGGATAAGGGTCCTTTACTTACTTTTTTTAAGTCTTACCCATCTTTGTATCATCATCATCATCATCAAGTGCTTTGCTAAATGGTGTTCCTGTGTTGATGCCCCTCCCTGCCATGATGAAAGGCTGTCAAGAATCTTCTTGCACTGTCTTCCTCTGTCTCTCTTTCTACAGATCTTTCCAATGGTCACAACATGTTCCATTTTCGTTCTTATAACATGACAAAAAAAATGATTGTCTTTCTGATGTTTGTGATGAGTTGTCTTCAAGCTCACGCCTTTTTCGAAACATCTGGGTTGCTGTTTTTAGTTGTCTGAGCAATTCTGAGGATTCTTCTGTAAAACCACATCTGTGAGGTCTTGAGAAATTGTTTACATCGTTTAACAATTGTACAGGATTCCCAGCCATATGTTAAAACTGGCTAAGTATAACATGTGAGAATTTTGCTCCTAACCTCCAATGGTATGGATTTATTGCATAAAGTGTTCTTCATTTGATAAAATGCAGTTTTGACCTGTTCTGTTCTATTCTTTATCTCTGTGATACATCTTCTGTCTGATGTTATCCATGTGCCTAGATGCTTAAATTTATGTACTTGTCCTAAAATAAGGCCTACAACTTTTATTAAGCATTTAGGAACTAATCTTTTCTTGGAAATCACCATTACTTCCGTCTTCCCAGTATTCAAACTGAGGCCCATTTTATTACTTTCTACCACCACTGTATCTATCTATCCCTGAAGTTCTTTCTGACTTGTCACTATAAGCACGGTGTCATCAGAATTATACAGGTTTATGTTTGTGTCTTTGTATACTCTGGGATAATAGGCACATTTTGTCTACACTGCTCCAATTGTTACTTTATCTCTTTCTTTTTAATTTCCTTTTTGATTTCAACACATTCGGACCTCACAGTTGTTACATTTTTGAAAGTTTTCTGTAATCTTTTCTTGTTCTTCTTTTGCCAATATCTTCTCTATACCACTAGGGGTTGTAGTTTAACAGATAATAGGTAGCCGAGCCAGGGTTGCACTTGGTTGTTCGCTATGCTGTGATGTTGGAAAGTTTCATCCTATTTGTGACTCTCTAGATTCATCTTATTCTGGATCTCCTTCTGCCTCTTGGTGTTTCTATTGTTATGTTATACACTGTTGCTTCTCTCAATGTTATAATCATTATCACTAGGTTGCTAAATGTTGAGAATACCCTGGACGGATACAAATCGTAATAAAGATGTCTTGAAAGAAACTGACTCACGAAGAGAGCTGATTGCCCACACCAGAAGGAGACAATCTATATTCTTTGGTCATAAGGTGAAAAGGAGAAAATAAGAGTACATCATGACAGTAAGAAAGGTGGAAGGGAAGAGAGACAGAGGGAGACTTAGAGAAAAGATGCTGGACAGTTTGACATCATGGCATGGAGGATCATCTGTGTCAGAGTTGTTAGGAACTACACAAGACAAAAGGTTGTTAATAGACATGACTGCCAGTGCCACATGCCATGGACTTTGAGAAGAAGAATAAGGTGGCTGAACCATTTCAGTCTTTGTTTCTTTCTTGGATACTATGTCAGTGTTCTTCAACCTGTGGGGCATGGCACCTGCAGAAAAGGGCGGCCAGACAGTTCTGCTTAATCATGTAATGAGGTATGGTAGGTGGTTGATCTCTTCCAGTCTGAAGGATTACTACATCAAGGACTTCTTCTTCTTCTGCTTTTCTAACATAAGCCGTCAACCAACTCATGCCAAGTCGTTCTGTCCTTCGCTATCATGTGCAGCTCTCCTTGTATCCTCCCCATCTGTTTTAACTTCACTCTCTAGCTCCCTTCTGCATTTTTTTGTTCTTCCTTTATTTCTGTGCCTCAGCTGCTTTTCTTCTTGTTTTTCTTTTTTGATGTGTCCATGGTTGGTTATTTTTTGTGGATATTATTTTTACAGGATGAGGTAGCCAACCTCAAGCCAAACCCTACCATTAGACACCTCTTATGACATGCCTGGTAGGGTGCGGTGTTAATGTTTTTTGCTTCTGATGAGGGCCCTGGTGACACACGGGTAAAGGGACTCCTTATGTGTTTGAAAAGACTTTCTCAGTCATGTCAATAATAAAAACGAAATAGAGAAATCAAAAATATATTATTGTAGCACTTTTCAGAAACAGTGCTGCAGCCAAACATATAAGATTTTATCACCTCTGAGCAGCAGAAGCTGTCGAATTGGCTGAAAACTCTAATTCTGGGAGATAAGATTTAATAAATAAACTTCTGCTTCTTCTTCTCTAACATTCCAAGCCCTTAAAGTTCATTGCAGCAGATATAACCTGCTTCCACTCATCTCTCAGGTTGGCCTTCTCTCTCCAGTCGGTGACACCAAGTGTTTGCAGGTCTGTCTGGACATTATCTCTCCATTGTCTTCTTTGTCGACCTCATGGTCTATGACCATTCAGCTCCCTTTTGAATACAGTTTTTACCTCTCTGTCATCTGACATTCTCTCAGTTTACCCCAGCCATTTCAGTCTGTTAGCTCTCATGATGCCAGTGATAAGTGGTGATTGAAACAGATTATGAAATTTGTTGTTGCTTCTCTCTCTTTTCTCCACTGTTTGCATATTTGATAGGTCCAAAGATTTATCGTAACACTCTGTTTTCAAAGATTTTTAATAAGGCTTTATCTCTTTTAGTTGTGCTCCAAGTTTCATAGCCATATTAAATGACTAGTCTGATCAACATTTTATACATTTTGATCTTGGTGATGCGAGATAGAGACTTTGCAGATGTTGAAGGGCATAATGTACAGAAATAAACTACTTGTTTTTTGTTTCTCAGTTTTCTGTCAGGTGGGCTGCGAAACAGTTTCCACTGTTTAGGTGGGCCACGTGTGTAAACAGTTTGTAGAACACCGGAATAAGATAAATTACATTACAGTAACATATATCTTGACTGAAAGAGTGAAAGCCTTCATGTTGTATTACAGAGTATCCAAGCGCTGCTGGACTGCGGATGTGATGCAGACATCACAGACAATGCTGGACTGACTGCTGCTGAACTTGCTGATAAATGTGACCAGCCCCAGGCCGCTGCTCTTATACGAGGCCAGGTGACCTTAGCCGACCTCGGACTCCACAGTTCTACTCTGCCCGCGGTAGGAAATTACATGAAATTTTTGTTGTAATTATTTGTCATCATGTAGCAGGATGTCGTTTATAGTAAAAGGCGACTAATATAAAAAAAATGAGAAGTATTCTCTTAAATATAAAGCTATTGCCTATACATTACAGGTAGTAAAGAATAGCCAGATAATGCCAAGGACCATAACTCGAGAATTTTAGATGAAACTGTGTTGACAGTTCAATCCCCTTGGTGTTTAAGGTTAAAGTAAAGCGATTCTCTAAAGACTTGCGAACTCTGTTACTGGAGTGGCTAAAGTGGCTGTCACCTCCATGTCATGGACACTGGTGATCATGAGATATGAAGTGCAATGGTACTGGTTTCAGGGCACCATTCTGCACTTCCAAAAGATGTTGCATAAATCAGTTGATGGCTTAAATGACATTGTGGCTCGTGCAATAGAATGCCTCACCTATGTGGAAGGTGGCATTTGGGAATCCCAGCATACCCACTACACACTTTGCGGTTACAGTGAATACCAAAGCTTCTATATAGGCATAGTGGCTATGACCCAAAGACTTCTTATTATCAGAAACCCTTAAATGTATGAAAAATGGCTTTCACAGAATGACAGGCTTAAGGTAGGGTTGGTCCATGTGCAACAGGGGCTCTTAGAGAAAGCAAATAGGAATGGTAACATTGCATCCTAAAAGGCTCACCTGTATTAGGTGACTGAGTTAAGGATCAACCCATGTACTACCGGGGCCCTCAAGGGTAGGAAAGAATGGTAACAGTACATCCTGTTTAGAATACCATCAGATGTTACTATGCATAGCATCGACCCAGAGGCCTTAGGGAAAACAAATAGGAATATGACACTGCATAGAGATCCGTATGATCATTAATGAAAACCACAGAAAAAGATATGTGTCAGTTACATTTTTCGACAGTGTGAAAACAGCAAAAGACAGCATGGTAATAGGTTAACTATTTTTAAAGAAATCTGTTACATTTCACAGAAATAACATCTTTTTTTCTTGCGTCCTACTGCTTATGCCGCAAAACATTGCAGACAGAAGTTAGATGTAGATTACTATCGTTTGCTAGTTGTATAGCTTGTGTTAATGTCATATTGTGTTTCTGTAGTGTCTCTTTTACTCTCTACCCCTGGCTTTCCTGATTGGCCTCTTGCCTTGTAGCCTGCTGTTCTCATGTAGTTCCCTCTAGCTAATGGCTGATTTTGTTCCCTTTGCACCAGATGGCCAGACCATTTGAACTTTGATCTTATCCTTTTCTTATCTTAAGCAAATGGATTTGAACAATTAAATCCTCTAACAGCTTGCTGGATCTGTCCTGTAATCATTTCTAACTGCACAATTTATTGAGCGGTTACACTCGTATTCTATTTTGAAAAACATGTACCCTAATATATTGTTCATTATTTTCTGTTGTTTTATTCTAATCAGAACAATGAAAAACCACTGATACCATCAAATTTGAGCTTCCATCCATCACCAGCCTTGTCATCAAAAGGCATCCGAGTCACCAGCCAGAACTCTAACTTCAGGACCGGCAACTCTCAGCCTCCCACTTCCCCACCACTACCTCCACCACCAGCTTATTCCCGCTCTGTTGCTTCCACTCCATCCACTGTAGACTCACCCATCTCTCCCCCACCTCCCATACATGAAGATGGGAGGGAATCACTGCGTGTTGCAGGTTATGGTTTTTTGAAGAAGTCTGCAGAAGTTGAAAGGACTGAGCGACCTTCATTTAAAAGAACAGTCTCTGAGGTGTCAGGTATGTATGCTCTTCTGTATTGTTTTTCACCATTTTTATACCCTGTGTGGGAAACAAGAATAGATCCACTGACACATTTGAAACTCACATACCAGATTATCTTTGTACTTTCAGGGAATTATGCACATGCTCAAGTGCTCTATCATGAAATTTCTTCGATGATCAGCATCTCCAGGACTTCCTTTTCTAACTGCATCATCAAAAATTAAGTCCTTCATTATCACTGTGGGATTGCCTGTACTGGTTTATTATCCTTATCTGAAGCCCCGTTGACCAGTGGTTCTTAAACAGTGCTGACTCTGATGCCAGGGCAGCCGTAGAGGGTACCAGACCTTCTTTTTTTTGTTTGCCCTTAAAAGGACTGTTGGTACATTGTGTTGCGGTTTACAGTTAGACTATGATATCTGCGCCCAGCACATGTGATTTCATTTTGCGTGGAGGGAATGTGTCAAGAACTGCCTCTGAGAAATAAAGATAACTGTTTCCTGTACATTATCTCTCCACCATCTTCTTGGTCTGCACGACCTTACCTGCAGAGGACTTCAGGTTACACGGGCTGGTGTAGTTGTTATGGGTGCAGTATGTATAACTTCTTTAGAGGTTGAATGTTGTATCTGCCTTCATGATGTTTTAATATAGTGTCCTTGTGTGTCCATACATAGAAAATGTAAACTGTGGCCTAAGCCATTACAAGCATAAACCCAGCAATGCTTATATATGTTCTTCAGGAGTGCATCAAATTGTGGTTTTTTTTTTATGCACGGGACTCATGGGACACCCTGTACTTTTGTCGAGGAACACACTTTCAGAACCACTGCTAGACTTAGAGTTGATATCATGTGAACTTTACCAAGTGGTATCACCAGGAAGAAGAATAGGCTGTGATAATGAATGATATCTGAATGAACTAGTTAGTGTTTACATTCACCTCTAGATGTCTTGTTGAAGAGGTATTGTTAAATATACTCTGTCGATTTTCATGTGTGTTCTGGATTGTGCTCCTGTAGTTATTTACTGTAAGTAAGTACCGTACTTTTCCATTTTTAAGAGGATATGTTTTCCCAGTTGTTGTTGTTGTTGTTTTTTTTTTTCAGTTTAAAAATTATACATGGAATTTGTTTAACATTTTATTTCTTAATTTTTTAGGCTAATAAAAAAAAAAATCAGGGTTGTCTTATACATAGGGGCAACTTATATACATAGAATAATACAGTGATCACCCTGCTTGACCAGCGAACAAACTAGGTAGTGCTACACTGATATCAAGATATCTCATGTTGTATGGGTATGGTTAGAGCATCTCTTTCCATTTTCACAGGTCTTTTTGGGTGTTCTAGTGTAGTGGTCTTATTTTCTTCCTCCATTTACCTAATTGAATTTTTTTTTTTTTTTGGTGAAAAAAAAAGTACTCACCACAAATGGTTTTTAAAAAGATTCCGGTGCTCAACATAAACTGAACATAATTCTGGCTTTAAAAAAAGGTGCCAGTACTGTGTACCATTGCGCACATCCGGAAAAAAAAAAACTGTATGCCAGACATATTACTATAGACCAGTCGGCACTCAGTAGAATAGGCAGTGTGGTTAACATCATTCCAGCCACCTTTACTTTCCTGGACGTTTCCTGGTACCATTTTTAGACTGGGTCAAGCTTGGAACCAAAATCCACCCAGTGTAGATTTAAACCTAAGACCTTCAGACTAATTGAAGTGTGTTAAGCCACTGCACTGCTGTGGCTCCCATTCTGCTAGTGCACCTTGATAGTATGTATGGAATGTGGCTTATTTAAGAAGGCTAGTTCCCAGGGTACATACCATCTTAGCCCATTTACCTGTCATTCCGCTATTGTACCTTGATGATATTTAGAGAATGTGGCTTATTTAAGAAGGCTAGTTCCCATGGTATATACCATCTTAGCCCATTTACCTGTCATTCCGCTATTGTACCTTGATGATATTTAGAGAATGTGGCTTATTTAAGAAGGCTAGTTCCCAGGGTACATACCATCTTAGCCCATTTACCTGTCATTCCGCTATTGTACCTTGATGATATTTAGAGAATGTGGCTTATTTAAGAAGGCCAGTTTCCAGCGTATAATTTTATGGTCATCAGTTTTAGTAAAGGTCAGTGTTTGACACTGGCAGCATAAAGTTGGCCACAACAAATTTAGGTCTTATTGATTTATTTGCTATTAATAAATAATTAGATCTTTGCCTGTTTACCTTTTATTCTATTTCTGAGGTTTAGTGAACTGAAGAGAATGTAGCTTTACTTCATGATGCCAGATTCAGTGGTACAGACCATCTTAGCCCTTTTACCTTTTTGTTCTTTGTTTTTTTGTTTGTTTTTTTCTCATGTACCTTGATGATATTTAGAGAATGTGGCATTAGTCTGAATGCCAGTGTTCCTGTCACATACCATTTTAGCCCTTTAATCCTGTTAGTGTTTTAGCGATAATATGTGGAGAATGTCTTTACTTCAGAATGCCACTTTTCCTGGCACATACTATGATAGCCCTTTTTACCCTTTAGCCTTATAATTACCTTAATGATATTGTAGAGAATATTGCTTTACTGTAGAATACCAGTCTGTCTCATACATATGATTACATTTCTTCTAGGTGTCCACTTTCATACAGTTCATTCATTCGTTGTCCTATTGTGTCATTATATGTCACATAGGGATCACAGTCTATTTCTCCTTTACATTCTATCTATCCTGTGCAGTCACTTGGATTTCATGGATAGAATCTTTTGGCTGCACTCCTTGCTGTTCACCTGATCTTTTCCCGTGGGTGTCCTTGGTTCCTCAGTCCTTCTCCTTGCCAGTTCATTGCCTGTTTTGTAATGTCACTTCTCAGAATGTGTCTAGTAAAGTGCCATCTTTTCTGTCTCATCTGTCTGTTATCTTTCTCTGCTTAATGCTGTTAGACGTCGCAGGCACGGCCAATAATGAGCAATTTACCCAATAGTGAGTCTGTCTTTTAACTATTAACAATAGAATAGATAGATTTTTCTTGTTTCTTCACTCCTCTTGAATTTGTCCAATTTTATCTTCATCATTTACCTCAGGCATTTGTTTCATTCAGTGGTGCATCAGTATTTGATCCATAAGTATTTGTATACATCAGTTAGCACTTGATGAGTCATTTCATTCTGATAGCGACTGATGAGATAATATCAGGACAGTATAAGCTATTAATCTCAGACTTATTCTTCTGCATTCCCACTAAATGGATGGTTGGTACTGTGTTGCGGTTTACAGCTAGGCCTTAATATAGGTGTTTTTAGGCTCATTACATTCAGTTTCCCTGTTCATCCTTAAATGGGCGTTTTGTGTTGTGGTTTATAGCTAGGCTGTGATAACTGTGCCTTTAGCCTTCTACATTCAGTTTCAGCAAACTCTTTTATGAAATGATTGTTAAAGGGGCAGTGGATCTATTCCCATTTCTCCCCTAAAGTGGGCTCTGACATCCACACAAGGGAGCTGTTCACCTGATAGGCTTGCAGTTATATGTTTTCTTTCTTTCTTTTGTCCTACTGCTTATTCCATAAAGCTTTGCAGAGAGAAGTTAGATATAGTGTCCTATCTTTTCTCAGATGCGTAACTTGTTCAGTGTGATATTGTATTTTTGTAGTGTTTCTTTTACTCCCTCTACAAATCTCTACCTTAGTTGGCTTCTTCCCTTGTAGCCTATTGTTCTCATGTATGTAGTACACTGTGGCTGCTGGCAGATTTTGATGTGGCTAATATTTAATCTGTTGAATTAGTTTCATTTGCTGTGAATTAACTGTTGTTATCAGTTTAAACAGCTCAGATAAGATTAGGCTGTGTTACTATTTGACGCAGATTCACAAAATGTTGTGTATTTAACACTGTTGTGTATAGAAATTTTCTGTTTTTCTGTATGAGTCTGTGGGCCCACTGTGGGCTGAGATTGGATGTGTTGGGGCAAAAGTTGCAGATATCAGTCTTTCTGTAAACCACAATAAGGTGTGCCAAAAGCCCGAATGCAGTAGCAGTGGAAGGAGGAGGAGGAGTTAAAATCTATACTTTTACTAGTTTGTGAAGTGCTTTAATCAGAGATCTGATACCTAGAAATTGATGCTCTATTTTTCAGTTGATTCTTCAGCATCCAATTTTGGAGTCTTTGAGCAGCAGGAAGCAGGTGTTGTGCATACAGGTGAGCCAGGTGTAATATTTCCACTTGCCTTGATTAGTGTCAGACATTTGTAATAATATACTTTTATAAAATCTTCCCTGTGCCAGTTTCGGGGCTTCATTGTTTAAAAAAAAACAGAAAAGGGGTGGGGGGGGCTCAATGAGGACGCATTGCCACCTAACAAATAATCATAAAAGTTGATTATTTGGAGGTTTGCTGAACTTTGAAACGTTGTGCCAAAAGGTGCAGATATCACAGCCTAACTATAAACCACAACATGCTAACAGCACTTTTTAAGAGTGAATTTAGAAGAAGAAGTTAATATAGTATCTTTTTATACCTCTCCCTTCCCCTCTTCCCGTCCTACACTACCATCAAAAGTTTTAATATAGGCAATAAACAGATGGATCATGTTGTAATTTGTATTTGGAAACTACCACACATTCTATTCTTCATCATGTAATCATGTAATTGCAGTTCCAGCATCGTAGCAAATGTCTCGCTCCAAATAGTTGCTCCATTCCTGTGCCAATGAAAACCACACAGAATGTCTATCAATGTCACTTTTTGGGGAAACAAATTATTGACACAGGCTGCAGTCTTAGCAAATCCAGCAGCATACACAAACATTAAGTGCATGAGGCCGCAGTCAGAAGTGTGAGCACAAGCAGTCCTACACTAAAAAAGCAGATCATCATCCATGGAAGCAGAAGTTACAACAGATTAGTTAGTGGCTGCTTATGCAATTAAGTGCGTAAGGCACCACAAGTTCTGTGGCAACAGGTCACTCTCCATTTCCTAAATCTGCATTTCACAACACAGAACACATTAGGCACGGT